TGTTGGCCCTCCTCCCACATTAAACCAGTTTCATATATTTTAAAAACCCTGTAAAGTAAGTAAAAATAGAGTGTGGCCTCACCTGCTGGGTACGAAATCAGCAGACAATGCTGATCACCAAATTTGTTTCCTATGATGATGTTTGTTTTGTTTGTTGTTATTTAACGCTGCACTCAGCAATATTCCAGCTATATGAAGACGGTCTGTAAATAATTGAGTCTGGACCAGACAATCCAGTGATTGATATCATGAGCATCGATCTAAGCATTTGGGATACGATGACATGCATCAACCATGTCAGCCAGCATGATTACCTGAACCCGTTAGATGCCTCTTACGACAAGTATAGTCGCCTTTTACGGCAAGCATGGGTTGCTGAAGACCGGATCTTTACGGGTAGTTTCAAATTATAAGCTTACAGTACAGCCTTTACCTGAATCCCTAATTCCCAGACTTTAACATGCATGTTTGATCGGCTGAACAGGAGGCCAAGCACACTCACCTCATTTGCCGCCAATGCGTGACATTCCTGAGAAATCACTAGAACATTTCTTATATACAAATTCCTCACAATTAATTATTTGTGAGGTATTTTGATAAAATTAAAAACAAGGCACCAAGTAAAAACAATCCCGGTAACATATATGAAAAAATATCAAACCCAAAATTCTTCTCAAAAACATTCCTGGGTACTTTTACCATTCTCATAGGTCCTTCCTTCATATTTTGATTCAGCAAAGGACCTTTTTAAAGTCATTACTTAAACCATCATACAAAAAACACTGTTTTGAGCACAAAGCAAAATAAATATTTTTTAACCTAAAACATCTACTGTTTCCTTTTTAACAAAGAACAATTAAATAGGACAAGAAAAAAATATTTCCACAAAGGCATATCGTATAATACCTTGGATTCCATGCTAAAATTGTCAACAGGTTTATAAATATGTGTGGGGCTTCAGGAACTTACAGTCATCGAAAGGTGTAAAATACAAAACACATATCTCCATATACGTACATACATATAGAAAAGAAGTTAAGAAGCACCCGATTTCTTTTCATGACTATAGTTATCTGCCATGGCTGGTTGGTATTGCCACACACAGCCTTCCATTTGGGGGTGTTCTTTAACTTGTTTTGAGTAGTATAGTAGTAAATAACAATGTATATAAACAGGTTTACCTGTAGTCTGATGAACAATAAACTTATGTCAACTATTTTCTGTCACTGAACCGTATATACAGCAACAGAAGTCAATAATATGTCCACTCAATTGTGAATAAATTAACTTGCTCTCGTCGCTATATGGCTGAAATAATGCCGATGCGACGTTAAATTTTACCTCACTCACTCAATAATATGTGAAATCCAGTGAAATCCTGTTAATCTTGCCCTGTTTACTTATGTCTACATACCACACAAGGGAGACTACTCCATTACAATCATCTGTTATTCTGAACCCTGCTGGCCTATGTCTGCATAGCAAACAAGGGAGACTACTCCATTAAAATGACATGTTGATCTGGAAATTTGTTAATCCTGATGAAATTACCGCGACCAGTCAGTCCAGATTAACTAGATTAGTGCAGATTGACAAGGTTTCACTGTATGACCCAGGACACATCAACAAATATACTACTCAATAGAAGTTAAACAATACCCGATTTTTTCATATGACTATAGTGATTCTGTCAAACAGTCATATATCATGGGATGTCGGCTTAATGTGGGAAGAAAGCCTAAGTGATGCATGTCTCAGATGTTTACCACTTTGGCGAAACCAAGCACGGGTATTTTGGACTATTGGCTAAAGGTCTTAGTTTTTAAAGATGTAAGCCAACCAAATTAAATAAGAAAGGCTAGAGTGAGCATGAATGGATGTTCTCCTAAGCAATTCCCCATGAGAGGCACATAATCCGTAATCATAAATTTCAATTTTTTTTCTGGACATAGTAGCCATTTTCATTTTAAAAAGAAAATAAAGAAAAATAAATAAGATGTCAGTAATGCACAAACTTCTCGCAACATGACAAAGCTGGCATTTGCCAGGAGTAAAAATGATAATTTTGTCATGCCACTCAATGAGATTAACATGTTATTTGACAAAAAATGGCAAACATTCTCTGTATAGCTAGGATTGCTACGTCATTGGTTTGATCCAGCGGCAGTGTCTCACCAAACAACATTTGAAATGGTACTTGTGTTTGAGTGGGGTGTCCATGCGGTATGGTATCTCAGAAGGTCAGCACTTTAAAACCGGCACAGTATCAGCAGCAACACCGTGTGCGACATACGCTTGAAGTCGGAAAGCGCACATTAAATCTCCAATATAAGTAAGTAAGCAGCAACACACAAGTGCATGCACTTCGAAAATATATGGGTTAGTGAAATAATTTTGAACCAAACATTGAACCTCATTTCACCCCATGACACGAATATTCTGAGAAAATAGTATATGGCTACACCAAAATATGCAGTGATAAGGCAAGTCTATTGCCTCTTGCTATGAACATCTCTCAACAACACAAACCCTGAGCTGAGTTAAATAAGCAAAAGCTTCAAGCCATTTCAAGCCATTTTTATGTAGCGGGAAATATATATAAATAACCAACTTACAAACTAATACAAAATCTGTCGAATAAACACTTAGTCAGGATAGTGATGTATAAGTGTACATTGGGAAGATGTTTAATGAAGTTAAGGGGACAAATATAGGTGAAATACTTAATTATCTGGTGTAAATTGGGAGACAAATTAATGACACCAAATTTGTCTCAATACAAACATATACAGACATTGACACATGTTAAAATTTATTGCAAACTCAGGTCAACTGAGTGTGTTTATAGGCAAAGAGAAGTTGGATGTACATATGACAGGTAGTATTAGGGATAACAACCTCTTTTCTTTATAGACCGCCTCAGTGGTCTAGTGGTAGAGCGGAATGTCCGGGGTTCATACCAAAAGACATTTAAAGATTGTACTTGTTGTTACCCTGTCTGGCGCTTGGCATTAATGGGTTTAAACAAGGGCTGGTTAGCTCAGAGTCAGTATACTGTAGTCAGTATTCATATTCAACTGCAGCATGGTATCTCGGTGGGCTAGCTCTATAAATCAGCATTAGTCCGGACTAGTACAAGCAGCCACACACATACACACATCGCTATATTAGCGCAATAATTTAGGATGTGATGTGAAACCCCATTTCACCTCACCTCTTTACTTTATGTGACCTGTGAAGATTCCGGGGGTAGAATAGGTCTTCAGCAACCCATACTTGCCATAAAAGGCAACTATGCTTGTCGTAAAAGGCGACTAACAGGATTGGGTGGTCAGGCTCGCTGACTTGGTTGATGCATGTCATCGATGCTCATGATGTCAATCACTGGATTGTCTGGTCCAGATTCGATTATTTTACAGACTGCAGTCATATAGCTGGAATATTGCTGAGTGCGGCGTTAAACAACAAACAAACAAACAAACAAACAAAACTTTACTTTATGTACTCGACGTTTCCGGGGCACTTCATGCTCCTTCATCCAGTGAATGATGGAAGAGCATGAAGTAGTCCTGAAAAGTGCATCTACAAAGATGTTATCCATGTTATCCATGATAACATATTCCTTGTCATATGTCAAGTCGTTTGCCGTTGAATTGAAATTTCCTTCAGATGAGAATCACTCATTTACATCTCAAACAAAAATTACTAAACCTGCATATACCATAAATTGATGTTCATAGAGGAATATTCAGGGTTGGGTTGGATGCAAACTTCAACATCGATGTCAGTACATGCTTTGTAGGTAATTTGTGGAAACGCTGTTATATCAAAGCCACTGATTGAACACAGTATAGTTATACAATAAACAATTTTGTTCAATCTGGTGTCTGTTTTATATGTGCTGTATTCAATCTTTATTCGACACTGAATAGGCAATAGATCTATAGCATAATAACAAATTACATGTGGTAGAGGGTATTCCCTTGTTGTACATAAGGATACATCTGACACAATATCAAGGCTGCATCGATTTCTGTTCTGGACATTTAGACTGGTATTCACATTTTGGTTTTTTGTACCCAATACAACCCTTGCATGACAAAGTATTGAATTAGTGAGTGAGTGAGTGAGTTGGGTTTAACGCCGCTTTTAACAGTATTCCAGCTACCGGTATATCAAAACTAGGGCCATGCTGTGTATCAATAATAGATCTATATGTTACGTCTATGCTATATTGAATACTGCATCTTGAATGAATACTGCAATAATTCTACATCAATACAGCTTCTATGCTAAAACAATACTGCATCTATGTTATATCGAATACTGCATTTCGAATGAACACTGCAAAAATGCTTCATCAATCTTACATCAATGCTACCGTATTCAATGTAATAAGCGCCCAGGGCGCTCTCAAAATCAGAAAAGGGCACTTATTAGAATGCAATCTTGGTTAAAAAACGGAATTGAAAGATCGTAAATTTTGTGGTTTGGCAAATGCAGAAAAGAATCTGTGTCCGTATTTTACCCCATAGAGATATATGTCTCTCACAAGTAATACTATGTGCATGCTTAGCAACTACCGCAGTGGGCTCTTATTAAAGCGGGGCGCTAATTACGTCAAATATGGTATATCAATACCAGATCTATGTTGTATCGAATATTGTACCTATGCTGTAATATATCCTGCATCTATGTTATATCAAATACTGCATCTATGTCATTACTATAATGCATCCTTGCTCTATCCATTCCAGATCAGACTGCCTCCATGGTCTAGTGGTAGAGCGTCCTCCTGGAGAGCAGAAGGTCCAGGGTTCGATCCCCGGCTGCGTCATACCAAAAGATGTTGAAAGATGTTACTTGTTGTTACCCTGTCTGGCGCTCGGCATTAAGGGGCTAAAACAAGGACTGGTCGGCTCGGAGTCAGTATATTGTGTCTGAGTGGGGTATTCATGTTAAACTATTCATGTCAGTGGGCTAGCACAATTAAAATCGGCATTAGTCCAGACTAGTAAAAGCAGCCACACACACACACACACACACACACTCAAGCATGTCGGAATAATCTTGGATGCAACGTTAATCCCCATTTCACCTCACCTCTCCTCACCCATTCCAGATCCAAGCTGCATCATTAGTGTTTTAAGTTATGCTATATCAAATACTGCACCTATGCTGTATAAAATACTGCACCTATGCTATATCAAATACTGCACCTATGCTATATCAAATACTGCACCTATGCTGTATAAAATACTGCACCTATGCTGTATAAAATACTGCACCTATGCTATATCAAATACTGCACCTATGCTATATCAAATACTGCACCTATGCTATATCAAATACTGCACCTATGCTGTATAAAATACTGCACCTATGCTGTATAAAATACTGCACCTATGCTATATCAAATACTGCACCTATGCTATATCAAATACTGCACCTATGCTGTATAAAATACTGCACCTATGCTATATCAAATACTGCACCTATGCTATATCAAATACTGCACCTATGCTATATCAAATACTGCACCTATGCTATATCAAATACTGCACCTATGCTGTATAAAATACTGCACCTATGCTATATAAAATACTGCACCTATGCTGTATAAAATACTGCACCTATGCTATATAAAATACTGCACCTATGCTATATCAAATACTGCACCTATGCTGTATAAAATACTGCACCTATGCTATATCAAATACTGCACCTATGCTGTATAAAATACTGCACCTATGCTGTATAAAATACTGCACCTATGCTATATAAAATACTGCACCTATGCTATATCAAATACTGCACCTATGCTGTATAAAATACTGCACCTATGCTATATCAAATACTGCACCTATGCCATGTATGCTGTATAAAATACTGCACCTATGCTATATCAAATACTGCACCTATGCTGGATCAACACTACATTTATTCTCAATCCATACTGTACCTACCGGTATCCTTTAATCACTATTCATTTCATTTGACATCATACTGCATAGATAAATGACTACATAACGACTACAGACTGTTACACTTACAAACTAGAACTCTGTAGCCAACTCGTTGTGTACAGTGTTTATAAACACTCCCAAAGGGTAATTATTGCAGCGAATATGGTAAGGTCAGGTTTATTTATTTTGGAGGGTGGGGGTGCTAAAAAATTTCAGGTTGGTAGGTTGAAAAAATAGAAAAAATAACAATTTCAATTTCAAATATAATTTTTTGATTTCCTCAAAAAACATTTCCATAAAATACATTTTTCAACAGGTTTTGATTATAGCACTTTGGTTTTTTTGTCTTGACAAAAATCAGCATCTGTACCATTTATGGTAATTGAGAATGGGTAATAGATAATTACAGTTATTGTACTGGTCTGTCTTCCAGACCCTAAAGAAAAATATATAAAAGGAGTCTAACTCAAGTCTAGAATAATTTGGCAAGTCTGCTGAGGATTATTCTGGGCTTCATTTGGATTTTATTTATTTTATTTTATTGATATACATTTTTAGATAAGATAACTTTATTTTAGGGACTAAATTTCAGTCTATTATCATACAGACAAACACTTGTGAGGAGTGAGTGATTTGTGATTAATGTCTGAACATGACTTCAGTAATATCACAGCATGTCAGCTTACTGGTAGAAGAAAGCCTGAAGTGCTGCAGATCACTGATGTCTACCACATTGTAGAAACCCACAAACCTGGAAAACAGCTGATAGATGAAGGATAATGAAGATGAATATGGGATTTTACCCCATCATCATCAGATTTGGCAAGGTAAAGGGATACAACTCCGTCAAGCAAATTTCAACACCTTAGACTAGTGGGCCATGCTTGCTCAAGATTAGTGATGACTCCACAGAAATGTGGCCATTTTGCCCAACATAAACACCCCTCCAGCTGAGAATTGCAATAAATCTACATGCAATCTGGCCCCCTGTAGTTTGTGCTTGTCTAACATGGAGCCGACAGTACGTCAATGTTTTACGTTTGCAAAACCAATCATTGCACAAACGACATGTTGACAACAAATACCCACTTCTTGTCTTTCATGAAAGTAAGCTATGAAGCCTTGAGTGGTCAAACTGTGGACTCTTTTTCCATGGACTGCACTGAACCTGTGGACTGGGACAAGGCCCTCCTGGGTGGCGCTGGTCGGCCTAGGCGCCGGATTCCTGACACCTGGATTTTTCTCTCCAAGACTTCATCACTGGTGATAAGGTAGGGACTCTGCAGGGAAAACATCAACTCTTATTTTCACCTGGTGTTAGCTAGACTACACGGTCAATGTATTTATTCATGACATATCTCTACATATCTCTGTGTGGTATATTGACATATCTCTCTATGTGGTATTCATGACATATCTCCACATATCTCTATGTGGTATTCATGACATATCTCCACACATCTCTGTGTGGTATATTGACATATCTCTACATATCTCTGTGTGGTATTCATGACATATCTCTATGTGGTATTCATGACATATCTCCACATATCTCTATGTGGTATTCATGACATATCTCCACACATCTCTGTGTGGTATTCATGACATATCTCCACACATCTCTGTGTGGTATATTGACATATCTCTACATATCTCTGTGTGGTATATTGACATATCTCTATGTGGTATTCATGACATATCTCCACATATCTCTATGTGGTATTCATTACATATCTCCACACATCTCTGTGTGGTATTCATGACATATCCCCACACATCTCTGTGTGGTATTCATGACATATCTCTATGTGGTATTCATGACATATCTGTATGTGGTATTCATGACATATCTCTATGTGGTATTCATGACATATTTACACACATCTCTACATGGTATTCATGACTTATTGTCTGGTCCAGACCAATTATTTACAGACCACCGTCATATGACTGGAGTATTCCTGAGTGTGGCGATAAACAAACAAACAAACAAACAAACAAACAAAATCTACTAACGGCAACAACGGCATCAGCCACTTACCCCTTTCCAATCTCGGACATCTTTACTTTCTTTTTCCTCTCTCTTGTCCTGAAATCAAAATTATAATTTATAACATCTTGAGGAGTACTGATTGAATCAACACATATGAGGTAAAAAAAATATGAAATATACCAATGCCCCGTTTCATATAGTGTTCATCACATTATGAATACCGTAACTACTAAACATTAACATAGACTTGCGGCAGTCATAACACTAAGATAGTAAAACAGGGTCCAGGTGAGTGAGTGATTGTCTAACACCAATGTCACAGCAGCATCACAGTCAAATTGGGACTTGAGAAACAAGTGGTTGATAACATGAGCACCTATCTACTTCATGTGACCCATAGTCAACCGGGTGCCCTCTCCACAAACCATTCATAGCGTAAGCCTAAAATAAACTATAAAGTTTCATTCGGTTTATATTGGAGGTGGTGAGGTGAAATGGGGAAATCACATTCAAGATAGTTTCACTTATATAGCGATCAGCATGCATGTGTGTGTGGCTGCTTGTACTTGTCCAGACCTAGTGCCAGCCAACTTAGAGGTGAGGTGAAATGGGGTTTAACGTCGCATCCAAGTGTATTGCACTTACATAGCGATGTGCATGTACGTGTGTGTGTTTGTGTGGCTGCTTGTATTAGTCCGGACAGGTGTCGATTTATAGTGCTAGCTCACTGAGATACCATGCTGCAGTTTAACATGAATACCCCATTAGGACCCAGTATACTGACTCTGAGCTGACCAGTCCTTGCTTTTGCCACTTAATGTCGAGCGCCAGACAGGGTAACAAGAAGTACTTTTTTTTAACGTCTTTTGGTATGACACGGCTGGGGATTGAACCCTGGACCTTCTGCTCTCCGGGTGGATGCTCAACCACTAGACCATGGAGGCGGTAGCCAACTTAGAAACCAATTCTAAACTTTATTACAGTGTGAAACAAACCACTTTCGTGCTTTGACAACTCAATTTTATTGGAGATACTATTAGTATCTCAACTAGTTTTGGATAGTTGACAGTGAAGAGGACTTCTGTTGAAAATATGAAGATTTTTCTGGAATGCTACAGCCAAAATACAGGACTTCTGACACTGTTATAATAGAGGTTCTGTATTTCTAACAATTATTTTAACTTGGATACCCCACTCAGAAACATTACACTGACTCCGAGCTCGTCAGTTCTTATTTCATCCCTTGATACTGAGGTTTGCATCATTAAGAAATTAGTTATAAAGTACCTGAAAGAAGAGTGAGTGAGGCAGTTGGGTTTGAATGAAGAAAGCAAATATGCAGGAATACTGCCCACATTGCGTGTAGTGGGATCTGCTTGATGGTGGACTTACTATACAGCTGAACACCCAGCTGGCAGGCACCCAGATGATCAAGGACAACACGATGACCGTCCCCACAATGTTGCTTCTCATGATCTCCACTGTAACAGGAACAAAATACATACTGATCATCAGGCTTCTGCTGCACACGCATTGATGTTTGTTTGTTTGTTTCTTGCTTAACTCCGCACTCAGCAATATTCCAGCAATATGATGGCGGTCTGTAAATAATCAAGTCTGGACCAGACAATCCAGTGACTGACACCGTGAGCATCAATCCACACATTTGGGATCGATGACAAGCATCAACCAAGTCAGTGAGCCTGACCACCCGATTCCGTTAGTCTCCTATTTTAAGACAAGCATAGTCGCCTGTTTCGGCAAGCATGGGTTGCTGAAGACCTGTTCTACCCTGGATCTTCATGGGTCCACACAATTATATGATCTGCGAGTCTGGATGGCCTATATATTGCAGTTTGATGTATTGAAACAAGTGATCAAGATCAAGTTTACTTTGGAACAAGGATATTAACATGTAAGATTAACATAGAGCTTCAGAGGTTGCACTATTGAAGTTTGGATGTCAAGTACGCCACACGTCACAGTTGTCAATCCGGGGCTCCCAGGTGAGCCGACATGGGTTTTACGCCAAGTTATGTAAGCAAATTGACAAGATGTGGTAGGTCAGCATGTGAGGGATTATTTATTTAATTACATTCTGGCTTTTTTGACAATGTGGGGAAGTTAATAAAAGAAATATGCCTCCTGACGAATATTATGGTTGGTCTGCAAAAATAGAACTATTGCGAGTGTGCCTTGCTCCCAATCTTCGCAGAACTTTCCTGCTTTCCTGAACTTACCAAATTTACTGGGAGTGAGTTTCTCTATGAAGTCAAAGAACCTGTAGATAAGATCCGTTGTGGTCTTGGTGCAGGTCCCTTCCTGAAAACAGATGGCACTTTGTGGTTGCATATGTTCTAACTCTAACCCTAGCCCATCAACCATCCCACACGCAAGCCATCCTCCATCCCACACCATCCTGCATCCCACACCATCCTGCATCCCACACAATCCTCCATCCCACACCATCCTGCATCCCACACCATCCTGCATCCCAAACCATCCATCCCACACCATCCTGCATCCCACCCACACCATCCTGCATCCCACACCATCCTGCATCCCACACCATCCTGCATCCCACACCATCCTGCATCCCACACCATCCTCAATCCCACACCATCCTGCATCCCACACCATCCTGCATCCCACACCATCCTCAATCCCACACCATCCTGTATCCCACACCATCCTCCATCCCACACCATCCTGCATCCCACACAATCCTGCATCCCACACCATCCTCCATCCCCCACCATCCTGCATCCCACATCATCCTCCATCCCACACCATCCTGCATCCCACACCATCCTGTATCCCCACACCATCCTCCATCCAACACCATCCTGCATCCCACACCATCCTGCATCCCACACCATCCTGCATCCCACACCATCCTCCATCCCACACCATCCTGCATCCCACACACAAGCCATCCTCCATCCCACACCATCCTCCATCCCACACTATCCTGCATCCCACACCATCCTGCATCCCACACTATCCTCCATCCCACACCATCCTCCATCCCACACCATCCTCCATCCCACACGCAAGCCATCCTCCATCCCACACCATCCTCAATCCCACACCATCCTGCATCCCACACCATCCTGCATCCCACACCATCCTGCATCCCACACCATCCTCCATCCCACACCATCCTGCATCCCACACCATCCTGCATCCCACACCATCCTGCATCCCACACCATCCTCCATCCCACACCATCCTCCATCCCACACCATCCTCCATCCCACACCATCCTGCATCCCACACCATCCTCCATCCCACACCATCCTGCATCCCACACTATCCTGCATCCCACACCATCCTGTATCCCACACCATCCTGCATCCCACACCATCCTGCATCCCACACCATCCTCCATCCCACACCATCCTGCATCCCACATCATCCTCCATCCCACACCATCCTGCATCCCACACCATCCTCAATCCCACACCATCCTGCATCCCCACACCATCAGCCATCCCACACCATCCTGCATCCCACACCATCCTCCATCCCACACCATCAGCCATCCCACACCATCCTGCATCCGACACCATCCTCCATCCCACACCATCCTGCATCCCACACCATCCTGCATCCCACACTATCCTCCATCCCACACCATCCTGCATCCCACACTATCCTCCATCCCACACCATCCTCCATCCCACACCATCCTGCATCCCATGCCGTCCTGCATCCCCACACCATCCTCCATCCCACACCATCCTCCATCCCACTCCATCCTCCATCCCACACCATCCTCCATCCCACACCATCCTGCATCCCCCACCATCCTCCATCCCACACAATCCTCCATCCCACACCATCCTCCATCCCACGCCGTCCTGCATCTCACGCCGTCCTGCATCCCACACCATCCTGCATCCCACACCATCAGCCATCAAACACCATCCTCCATTCCAAACCCTGAAAATGAGTCAACCTACCTTTGAGCAGTAACCCTGGTAACAGGGCCTTCCTTCCTCCAGATTTCCCCCCCTAGGTTTACACCCCTCCGGGCCACTGTCTGTGTGTTTACAACATCTGGCGCAGGCACTCTGTTCTATAGCGAGACATCAAAATCATCATTTAATCCTCAAACAACCACAACCACAATATGATCATAACCTTATTTATATAGCCATGAATTGTATCATTCTAGGTTCACAGATGTTTTTATAAAACAAGTTTTAGGCCAGTCATATATAAAATAAAAGATAAACATGTTTCCTCTAATACTTTCTTATCAACCCTCCTCAGTCGTGAGTTGGTTGAAATATCCTTTGCTGCCATTTTTAACTTTTGAAAATTGCTAGACATTTGTATTGACTTTAAAGAAGATGGATTTCATGACTTGGATTTATACAGTTGATCAGAGTATTTAGTGTTTATTCAATTTATACCAGTTTATATTTTTATCTTTTTTTAAACCATCTCCATGATGTAGAGGATAGAGCATCTGCCCAGAGAGCAGAATGAGGTGGTTCAATCCCATGGCTGTATCATACCAGAACATGTTAAAAGATGGCACTTGTACCGGTACATATAAGCTTATACATAATGACAGACGCAGGATTGGTCAGGGGTAAAACATATTTTGAATGTCATTTTCATTTCCAAATTGGCAGTATTTGGCCTTGGTTTAATAGATCAATAAACAATGGCCTTAAAACATGTATAATGTGGGGGAAGTTCTTGTTTGTTTGTTTGTAGTTTAACGCCGCACTTCAGCTATATGACGTCGGCCTGTAAATAATCATGTGTCGACCAGCTAATCCAGTGATTGACATCATGAGCATCGATCCACGCAATTGGGAACCATGACGATCATCATCCATGTCACTAAGACTGACCACCGGATCCAACGACAACTCAGGGGTAGGTAACTTTCAAGGGGAGGTAATGCTAACCAAACCACAGTGATATGCTTTTAACCTATCATTGAACATCTGTATCACTCTGTGTCAGCTTACTGTGGGGGGAAGTCCAAGGTGGGGCAAATTGTCGACATCACCACTTAGGTGTAACCATGAACATTGAGATCAAGGATGATAATCAGGTACATGACCTGATCAAACCTGAGGTGAGGTGAGGTGAAATGGGGTTAAACGTCACGTCCAAGATTATTGCACTTATAGAGCGACGGGCATGTACGTGTGTGTGTTTGTGTGGCTGCTTGTATTAGTCCGGACTGATGCCGATTTATAGTGCTAGCTCACTGAGATACCATGCCGCAGTTTAACATGAATATCCCACTCAGACACAGCATACTGACTCCGAGCCGACCAGTCCTTGTTTTAGCCCCTTAATGCCGAGCGCCAGACAGGGTAACAACAAGTACCATCTTTTAACGTCTTTTGGGATCGAACCCCGGACCTTCCGCTCTCCGGGCGGACGCTCTACCACTAGACCATGGAGGATGAAACCTGACCATTGCTTGTCGTGAGTGAGTTGAGTTTTACATCCCTTTTCGCAATATTCCAGCAATGTCATGGTGGAAGACCCTAGAAATGCGCTTCACACATTGTACCCATGTGGGGAATCCAAACCTGGGCCTTTGGCGTGACAAGCAAACGCTTTAACCACTAGGCTACTCCACTGGCCCCCTTTGTTTGTTGAACATAGTGTGTTCGGTTTTGTTTACAGGACACCTCACTCAGCAATATTCCAGCTAATCACGACGGGCTGAAACTAATCAAGTTTGGATGGATGTTGTTTAACATGGCACACAGCAATATTCAAGCCCTATGGCCGCGGAATCACACAATCCTGTGATAGATCTTATGAACAACAACCCATGATGTTGGGGTACAATGACACGATGACACGATGACACGCAATTAACCAAGTCACCGAGCCCTACCACCCAATCCTCTTATGACAAGCATGGGGTGTGAGGTCTTCATTGGGCGGTGGGTTATGCTTGTTTGTTTGTTTGTTTGTTGTCTAATGCTGCACTCAGCAATATTCCAGCTATATGACTGGACCAGATAATCCAGTGATTGACATCATGAGCATTGACCTACTCAATTTGGATACAATGACATGCATCAACCAAGTCAGCAAACCTGACCAACTGATCCTGTTTTTCACCTCTTATGACAAGCATAGTCACCTTTTACGGCAAGCATAGTTTACTGAGGATACAGTGGGTTATGTATACAAGTAGGTAGATGAACATCTTACTGTCCAAGCAGATGCACGGCTCCATGTCCATAACTTCACAGAAAGACTTGCATATACCATCGTAGCATTTCCCACTGTAAAACATATATTGTTGTAGCTATGAACAAGGAATCCTAAACAATCAGGTCCTAAATGATCATTACACTGCAACAGAGTTTCTAACTACCAGGACCGATTGTATCCAACTTAAATGATCGATTTATGTATCAAACCTTCTGTAACTAATGTATCATTAAATCCACCTGTAATGTTTTAAAGATGTTGTATTTTCATGAGTCATGAGTCAAAGGAAAGTTCTTGGGCATCATTAGCAGTCATTAAAACAAACTTGGCTGGGAAAATAATGTTGATGCTTTGGATGCATAAGGAAAGACTGTGTTTTCAGAAACCGAACTCAGCATTTCGAATCCATAAGTGATGAAGAAGTTTGGGCAGACTACCTTTGGGGAAGACAAGCATCTGATGCATCTGTGATGTTGTGAGAGATGAATTACAGCCCAAATCTTCAAGATATATTCGCAAGTTTTGAGCTACAGTTGAATGTTTGATAATTACGATGTCGGAACTAGAAGCATTGTGATATGCTAATAAACGTTTGATACAACCTATTTTAAAGAGTGAGTGAGTGAGTGAGTGAGTGAGTGCTTAATGCCACTTTGAACAGTATTCCAGTTATATCACAGTGAGTCAGGTTTTTTTGGGAGGAAAGGCTGAAGTGATGCAGGTCTCAGACTCTTAACATTTCAGTGAAACCCATGAGCATGGGGATACTGCTGACAAACAAAAAAACAAAAATGGGAATCGAACCCAAAATCATAGGTTTCTGTCATGCACAACAGACGCGACTCTGCACAGCGAATTGCAGCACCTTAGATGACTGGGCCACCTGTGTCCCCTTTAATGATGCATTTAACTAATGATGCATTAAGAAATTAATGTATCATTTGGGTTTAAGGTAGCCATTAGTTAAGGAAGGTTTGATACAATCAGGTCCTGAAAAACAGACATGTGTAACTGAGTAGGTCATGCTCATTTTTGTTTTTGATTTTTGTTAACCATTTATTATCATATGATTTTGTAGTTAATAAATTTACACAGATTGTGAATTCCTTCAAACCCAAATTATTTTGTTGGTAGCAACACCAAACAGTGATTAATGTTTGTTCACAATTCGGGAATTAATCTTGAAGTGTTACAGTAAATTGTACATACCCATCTATACAATCTGTTCCATTCAACTTCGGCTCGGCCATTGGGCAGTCATAACTAGAACCGCTGGAATAGTGCTAAGGAAAACATTAATGGGAGGTCAATTGTTGTTCGTACAGTTATTTATTTCCAAGGAACAGTTGGACCTACACAGCCCAACCCCCTCACAATGATGGACTGTTAGAACAAGTCCATGTAAGGGACTGGTCATTGGTCATAGGTAGCTGGTGAGATTTGTATCATACTTTGTTTACGCCCGGTTTCTTCATGATAAATGGCACTATAAGTCCCAGACGAATTCTGCGTTTCCGTGATCGTGGAATGATTGGCAGAAAATGTAACTTCCTGCAGAATAGCTAAAACATCACGGAAGTTGTCTTTTGTTATCAATCAATAGACTAATTTTAACAGATTTTGCACTCGAGAGATGCCCATTCATTTAACATGCGATTCAAACATGCAAAATATGAATCCTACAATAAAATGAAATTTGAAATATATCACTCACTCTTAAATGTTCTTGTGGTATAACAACTAAATAGACTAACTAATAAGGCTAATCCTTAATGAGTCTAAATTGAAGTAATTGCTGAATGTTATTCTAATATATTCGATGACAGATTTACTTTAAATAAAATAGTTCAAGGCAATCTATAAGACTATGTAGACATATCTTTTGTCTTATTGGATATTATGTCTGGGAGATGGGATCTTGATACCTTAGGCTAGTATTTATCTGAGAGCTTTAAATCTATTAAACTATGTAGACATAATTTTTGTCTTATTGAATAGTATGTCTAGGAGATGTGTTCTCGTTACCTTAGACTAGCATCTATCTAAAAAGCTATGACTGAAATTACTGATATTACTGATATTACTGATATTACTGATACTGATTTACCTGATGATATGTATTTCTTGCTAAACAAAAATTATATGAAATGTTGTACAAATATTACACCCTGATAACTCATAGAAGCACATGCTGATGATCTAATTATTATATGAAAACTTAGTATAAATGTTATATCATGATATAACCATGACACTACATCTAACCATAAATAAATATCAGATGATATGCATATGTATTTGCATAATTTTATGTCTTGAAATTTCCAATTGCAAGAGATTAAATATTGTAAAGAACCCAGGATTTGTAATTTTTGCTGTAGAATTTTGATATTTTACTGCAGAAGTCGTCTGTGACAGCACAATATTAGTGTGGCTGTTAGTCTGACAACAGACCGGTTACATGAGATAGTGAGTGAGTGATTGAGTTTGGTTTTACGCCGCTTTTAGCAATATTCCAGCAATATCACGGCGGGGGACACCAGATATGGGCTTCACACATTGTACCCATGTCGGGAATCGAACCCGGGTCTTCGGCGTGACGAGCTTTAACCACTAGGCTACCGGACCGCCCCTACATGAGATAGTGAAAATGTGAGGACTGCTAGTATTCAGTTCACTATCCAGATGTCTTGTAATAATTTTCATCTTTTACCACCAATATACATTTGTCTACTTTCAACCTGACAACTTTTGTAAGAATTTACAAAATAAATAATTCTTGCTTTCCTACACGATCATTTCCGTGAACAGGCAGTTTCTTGAAGCAGTTTCCTAACATGTTTCTGGTATTGTTTCAAGAGCTCATAATCCTAAGTGCTATAATTAGGAATAAGTTAAAGGTGTCAGGAAATGGTAAATTACGTTTATAAGGCACTAATCTCTGAGATATATATTATCTCTGCATAATAATCTCGGTTCGTGGGGAGATGGTTGCGAAAAGGATACTTGCACTTGGTGGTCTGTAGACAGCTGTTGGGGGACGTGATTCTACACTGGTAGTCCTCAGTGGCCATCTGGCAGTTCTCACAGCACTCCGAGTTCATGGGGCTGAAATATAGACCAGTGTTAGTTCATAACTCTCTCACAGACTAGACTGAAGTACAGACCAGGGTTAGTTCACATCTCTCTCACTGAACTGAAACACAGGCAAGGATTAGTTCATAGCTATCTCAGAGACTAGACTGAAGCACAGACCAGGGTTAGCTCACAACTCTCTCACTTGACAATGTAATATTTTCTGTGGAAAACAACACGTTTTTACTGCAAATGTAGGAATTGTGTATGCGCTGGTGATGTGCTTCATTCCAATGTGCTTTATAGATGGGGTCTATAAATTAGCATTGATTTTGAAGGCTTTTACAGGGTGGTTGCCTTATAGGTGGGGGTCGCTTATAGTCAGCGATATACGGGATATATCTACCTGCACTATATATCTATCTGCACTATATATTTACCTGCACTATATATCTACCTGTACTATATATCTAACCGTACTATATATCTACCTGTACAATATATCTACCGGCACTACCTGGACGATATATCTACCTGCAAGTGGCTCCTGACTTGAACCGACACTTGCTGGTGCAGCAGTCGTCACCATCAGGTCCGGCGTCACAGTTCTCCAGGTTGTCCACGATGCCGTTCCCACAGTATGGCACATTGTCCTTCCTCTCTGTCAACACCAAGAATGAGTGAGTGAGGGAATGAGTTCATATGCCAACATCAGCATCAGTCAAATCACAGTGGCCCTCATCCGATATCAAGCTTGTTACAAAATTTCCATTGGCTGATAGTATGAACTGGTTACGAATCCTCCGACTCAAAATACAAAGAAAATGGAAAAAACAATTTAATAAAAATTATAATTTTTAACCAATATTTTTATTAGTGCCAACCCCAAAAAGAATACCCCTTGTACTAGAATAAAAAAAAATATTTCTAGAATCTTGCAAAGCAGTAACGAGATGACTTTGTCATCAAAACTCACGACTTTGCTTCCACAATGACCTTGTCTTGTCATGTCAGAATCTTTTCATATTTTTGTGTGTTTCCTACCGAACTGAATGTCTTTTGGAAACATCCGAAACTAACTAAGATTGTCTCAACAGTTTGCCATACTTCCATCCAATGCAAAATTTCAAGACTTTTGTATCACTATAGCCACATGATGTCAGTCTGCACAGGACTCCTGTCTGATCAAGTAGCAGGCTCAAAGGCTTTAATCATTATTTGTTTGTTTGTTTTTTGGTTTTTGTTGATTAACGCTGCACTGAGCAATATTCCAGCTATATGACAGCAGTCTGTAATAATCGTGTCTGGACCAGATAATCCAGTGATTGATATCATGAGCATTGATCCACGCAATTGGGATACAATGACATGCATCAACCAAGCCAGCGAGCCTGACCAACCGATTCCATAAGTCGCCTCTTACAAGCATGGGCTGCTGTAGACCAATTCTAATCTGGATCTTCACGGGTTCTTTAATCATTAACGATGTCTGCCTGTCTATATTCAGAGTATTTAACTATTTCTAACATAGACAGTTTTAAATGAAGATGATTTTATCCAACTTCCAGATTGAAAAACAAAGGGAGTTAGTGTGTCTGTCTGGACTCTCCTATTAAACATTGGGAAATCACTCACAGTCATAACAGTTTGGTATAAATGTATAATTAATAGTATTTGATTATTTAAAATACTTTAAGCACATATGGATAAAATGTTGATCTACAAGAAAACATAATAAATTATATATTTTAGTGTGAATATTTTTGAGCAAATGGACAAATATATGCACATTTAGTACTCCCCACTATCTGAAATGTGCAGCACTATCATAATACAGTATCGTCATCCAACAAGGTTACAATGCAGTGACGTCATACTTCAAAGAACTTAACAGCGTTACTCTCATTGGCTTTTGCTGAAAGCAATATGCGACCTGTCATAAAAACAGAATGATTTCAAGTTTTGTATGGTGTCTTACTCTGTATGACAATCTGACTGTAGACTACGATTTTCACCTACAGCGCCCCATACTGGCAATAGTCTTTCCTAAAATATGTTGTTATAGACTCCGAAATATGAGAGTTCGAGTTGCGCAGTGAACACAAAAATAATGCCAGCAAACATCCTTTATGTGTAGGTTGACTCAACAATTTCACAAATATTTGAGAGTGAGTGGGGTTTTACACTGCTTTTAGCAATATTCTTTGCATATCAGGCTTTGGAGACAGAAATGGGCTTCACACATGTGACAAGCCAATTCCTGGCCACCCGACTGCTCCTATATCCCATAGGGTGCATGTTGTGTATTGTATAAAATATATAATACCATGACCAGTATCGATCCACAGACTCTCTACTTTATCAGTGCCAATACTTGCATTCGGATTACCTCCCTTGTTTGCTCTCTTGGATATGAGATCGTTATGTAATAAACCGCATGGTTTTTCACCCGCCATTGATTTGGGTTAGTTATTTGGAAACTAAATGCATACGCCAGTGAAAACGTGACAATTTTGTGACGAGGATTGTTTTTGTTCACGCCACTAGTGACAAACGAATTTTTAGCTATAATGGCAGCCATTGGAAACATTGAAGCGTTTGACGAAGCGAACGGCACATGGGATGTGTATGCTGAACGCATGGACGCGTATTTGAAGGCGAATGCAGTTGAGGAAAACTTACTTGTGGGTTCATTTCTGGCTGTAATTGGAAACAGAACTTATACTTTACTCAGAAGTCTTGTATCACCGGGGAAACCGGCAGATAAATCTTTGGAGGAACTGACGAATGTTTTAAAGGAACACTACAGTCCGAGACCTGTTGTAATTTCTCAGAGACATAGATTAAGAAACCGGCGCCAAGAAACAAGTGAAACTATCGCCCAATATGTTGCTACACTTCGTGAGTTGAGTGAACATTGTGATTTGGGACAAATCTGAATGACCAATTACGTGATCAGTTAGTTTGTGGTCTCAGATCGGATTCAATACAAAAGAGAGTTTTGTCAGAAGATGCATTGACACTGGAAAAAGCATTGAAGATTTCAGTTTCCCTTGAGACAGCTGCCAAAGACACTCAAGAATTACACAACAAGGTAACATCAGAAGTAAACAAGTTATCAGTAAAGAAGAAAACTTTCCACAGAGATAAGCATGACAAGCGTCACACATATCCATGCTGTAGTCACTGCTCCAAGACAAATCATCATGCTAATGACTGTTGGTTCAAAGACATTGAATGTTACAAATGTGGCAAACCTGGACACATTAAAGCTATCTGTAGATCTAAACCATTAAGATCAGATGGGAGGAAGAAACAAGGTTTTGACAAACACAGGGTTCATCATCCAGATGAAGAACAAGGTGACGATATGAATGAACTTCCTCTTTTCTATGTGAAAGGTCACGACCTTGACATCATTTGGGTGTATCTGAAAATCCACAACAGAGAACTGAAGATGGAGCTCGATACAGGATCAGCCTTATCGATCATATCAACCAAAGAATATAAATCTAGATTCAGTGATCTCAACCTGAACAAAACTGATGTTGTTCTAAAGACTTATACAGGTCAACCAGTTAAACCTGAAGGCAAGTTAGACGTTATCGTCGAATATCAAGGTCAGAGGGAGAACTTAGAGTTGTATGAGGTTGATGGTCCAGGGCCGTCTCTACTGGGAAGATCTTGGTTACACAAGATACAGCTTGACTGGCCATCGATTAAACAGTTAACAGCCGTACCCAGAGAAACTAAAGGCGAGTTACAGGACATTTTACAAGCTCATGCACCAGTGTTTCGCAAGGAGCTTGGAACAGTGAAAAATGTTAAAGCAAAGATTGAAGTAGAAGATGGAGTGACGCCAAAGTTTGTCAATGCACGACCAGTCCCCTACTCTCTACGCCCAAAAGTGAAAGAAATTGACAGAATTATATGAAGGTCACCAAGGTGTCGTCAAAATGAAGGCTCTCGCACGAAGCTACGTGTGGTGGCCAGACATAGACAACGACATAGAAGAGACCGCCAAAGAATGTGATGAATGTCAGAGACATCAGAACTTGCCACAACCTTCACCTCTGCATCCATGGCAGTACCCACAAGGTCCATGGCACAGACTGCATGTTGATTTTGCAGGCCCATTTGAAGGTAAAATGTTTTTTGTGGTGATTGATGCTTTCAGCAAGTGGCCAGAGGTTGTAATTATGAATTCAACCACAGCTTCTAAGACCATAGAAGCTCTTCACAGCATATTCGGTAGATTTGGATTACCTCTACAAATCGTAAGTGACAACGGACCTCAGTTCATGTCTGAAGAGTTTGCTCACTTCGCCAGCATGAATGGGTTCCAACACATAACGTCAGCGCCCTATCACCCTGCAAGTAACGGGTTAGCTGAGAGGTTTGTTCAGACCCTGAAACAAGCTTTACGTGCAAGTTCATCCCAAGATTCAACTCTCCAACAGAGACTGTCAGTGTTCTTAATGAGATATAGGAACATTCTACCAGTAAGGAACCACCATCAGTGTTGTTAGTAGGTAGGAGATTAAGGTCAAGATTGGATCTTCTAAAGCCAAGTGTAGCTCAAACAGTGGCTATTTCGCAGGAGAGACAGATCCAAGACCGAGCCAATCGAAGGATTCGAACACAGGAGTTTGAACCCAGTGATACCGTTATGGTAAGGAACTACCATGATGGTCCCAAATGGATACCAGGATCAGTTGTTCAACGCACAGGACCTGTTTTATATCAAGTTCAAGTAGATCCGAACACTACATGGTGACGTCACACAGATCAACTTGTGTCACATACTCCGTCGATACAAGCTACACCTGATCAACACAGTAGCATCAACATTCCATTCCTTGAGGGAGAAAGTTGTACAAATGTTCAGGATACAGTGAACGCAGAACAGTGTGTAAATGACAAGGTTGTCATTCCTGAACGTCGATATCCAGTGCGTGAAAGAAAGGCTCCAGTCCGCCTTGATTTGTGACTTTAATGTCAGCAGTATTAATTGTTTAATTGAAATGATTTGTGTTGTATTAATCAGTTGAAAGACATTCAGTTAAATGTGTTTATTTCAGGGAACAAAGACTTTTAACCAGTGAAGAATTTCATTGACTCTTGTTACTAATGTTTACATGCAAGCTAACTTGGGAAGAGATGTTGTGTATTGTATAAAATATATAATACCATGACCAGTATCTATCCGCAGACTCTCTACTTTATCAGTGCCAATATTTGCATTCGAATTACCTCCCTTGTTTGCTCTCTTGGATATGAGATCGTTTTGTAATAAACCGCATGGTTTTTCACCGGCCATTGATTTGGGTTAGTTATTTGGAAACTAAATGTACACGCCAGTGAAAACGTAACAGTGCACAGTGCCAGGGCAAGATGAAGTGAAGGGACAGATATATGGACTTACCTACAAAACACTTGAAAGCTTTGGCTCTCAGCACATCGGACACATAACGCCTGCTGCAGGGGGAGAATATCTGGGCAGATACGAACACAAATAACTCCATTAGTTGGGATAGAGCTAACATAACTTTCTTATCAACTAACCTTTCATTACTAGCTACGAATAAGTCTGAGCACAAGGAGTCTGGGTGCCGGATGGTACGAGTGCTCTAAGCTATTTAAACCATGGCCAATATTCAAAGAATCCTAGCACCTCAAATGTTGAAACAACATTGTTTTGAGAACCGTATTTTAAAAGATATTCAAGAACTCCAGGGAGATGAGAATACTGTTTTCATGCACTGACACACTGATCCCAGTAATATTTGTCTAGTAATATTTGTCTAGTGTTGCGAGAATGCTTTAGTTCATGAATCCGGTTCAACATAAATATGCCTTTATTACCATTACCGTATTCGACGTAATAAGCGCCCTGATCTAATATTTGCCAATATATTGGCTAGTGAACAATCTCAATTAGCACCCCTTCCAAGTGGTTTACGTACACAAGACTTATTTATTTGTGTATAATACGTACTCGTATGTTATATGCACCCTTAATTATGGGCAATTAAATCCTGGAAAAATATTTCTGTCGTATATAAACATTTCAGGCTGTCAGCATAAACCACGAAATCTACGATTTTTCAACTCAAAATAATATTCTAATAAGAGCCCCCTATTTCTAATTTTGAGAGCGCCCTGGGCGCTTATTAAGTCGAATACGGTATTTGATAATTCTGATATTGACAAGAGAAATGGTGCTCATCGTACATGGTTGTTTTCCTCCCACCCGCTGACGGCGTAGGGGTACATGATGTAGCGGCCCTTGTTGAAGGAGTCAGGGGCACACTCGGGCGTGTCTACGTCATGCTCACTGCCCCAGTTGTGGCCTGAAACAACATGAAGCTGCAGACAACAACAAAATACAACAACATGTACAGTCAAACACTGTTGTGTCGAACTTACGGTTGTCTCGAAGTAAAAGCTTGGTCCCTGCCTTTTCCTTTTTTATTCATTTTTTTTTTAGGTGTCGAACCTCGGATAACTTGACGTATTTAAATAAGTCCCTTCAACTTCGACACAACTGTGTTTGTCTGTACTTACAAAAACATCATTGCTGTATATGCTTACACAAACTTTATTGCCGTATATACTTACACAAACATCATTACCATATATAGTATACAAAAACATTAAGCATGTCTGATTCAAGTTATTCAAAACTATGTTGAGAGTCCGTAAGCCCTAATTTTATCGTGTATACTGATCAAGCAGTTAATGATACTTTAACTAGAGACAATCTTAAATAGTTTAACTCAAGTCACTAATATAAAAATCTTTTCTCAAATTGGGCTACTGACTGTTGAGCATTGTTTCCCATCAATTGAAAAGCATCAGATCTCAATGTACGAATGTGTGCAACAGAAAATATGTCAGGGGGGTGATAAAAAAGAGTTACTGATAGACTTACTGCATGTTTGTCAATGGTATTACATTCCTATAGGCTGTACAATAACAGGGATTTATCAGGATTCCAAACTAAGTGCCAATGTTAGGCAAATAGGAGAAAAAATTGTTACTTTGTTCAAACTTGGGTTTATTTGTTGGGTCTTTATTTTCTTAAATTCAGAAGTATTTAACATAGCATTTACCATTGCACTCAATACAAAAACGTAAAACTATATGTTCAAGCCTCTCCCTCTATATTGCTCCCTTTATCAGTGTTATACAAGTCACCTCTTGGAAGCTATAACATGGGCCACGAATATACAAACAGGAATTGGGAAATTTTAATTCCAATATGGGAATTTTTACTGACATCTGTCTAGACTCGAAGACAAATGTTGGCTGAGCAGGTCTGGTTATATCCTTGACTAAGGGACAGGCCATTTGATATTCTGGGGGGGGGGGGGGGGGGGGGGGGCATTTGTTTGGGGAATAGATATTTTTTCAGCTACAGCTGCAAAACCAGATATTTTAAAAATATTTTTTTCTTAAAAAACACCTTGCAAGAATGTTATTTTTGTGGCAGACAATTTCTGTTTTTCTTTCAACAGTCTGAAGAATAATTATATTTTTCACAAATTTTCTGAGACATTTTATCAAAATATCAAAAAGTAATGACTAAGTAAAGGACTTAGTAATGGAAGCCAACCATCTGATAGAGTGGGTGAGTAGAGTCGTATGACAGTTGTGTCCCAGAACCATCATGACAAGGCCACAAAGACTTGGCTTCACACATGGAGAATGGAAATCTAAGTCTGTGGTGTGTGACTTGAACACTTCATCCATAAAGCTACACTATATCACCTTACATAATCAGCATCACAGCTTCTCAGCATCTGAATCAACGGCTAGTTCTATGTGTCCATAAAGGCCCTGACTGGTGAGGTGGTGAGGTGAAATGGGGTTTAACGTCGCGTCCAAGATTATTGCACTTATATAGCGACGTGCATGCACGTGTGTGTGTGGCTGCTTGTACTAGTCCGGAGTGATGCCAATTTATAGTGCTAGCACACTGAGGTACCATGCCACAGTGTAGCATGAATACCCCACTCAGACAGTATACTCTGAGTAGACTCTGAGCCGACCAGTCCTTGTTTTAGCCCCTTAATGTCGAACACCAGACAGGGTAACCTTTTAAAACATTCTTTTATTTCTATTTTCAGAAAATCATGTTTGCAGGTTAAGACTTTTTCTTTATTTTCTGTTAAGAAGAATACACTTACCAAATTCTATTGAGGATCAGCAATAATGAAAAGACAAAACAAAATAAAATATTATTATATATCTGCAAAAGTTTCATAAGAAAGAATACAGGATATTATTGTATACCGTATTCGACGTAATAAGCACCCACGGCGTTATTTGCTGATATATTGGCTAGTGAACAAGCCCAATTTGCATCCCTTCCGATTGATCAATGTACACAAGACTTATTTATTCGGTATAATACGCACACGTGTGTTATATGCACCCTTATTTATGGGCAATTAAAATCTGGAAAAATATATCTGTCATACATAAACATTTCAGGCTGTCAGCATAAACAACAAAATTTATCTTTCAACTATGTTTTTCTTCACAAAAATAATATTCTAATAAGAGCCCACTATTTCTAATTTTGAGAGCGCCCCGGGCGCTTATTTCGTCGAAATACGGTATCTGTAAGTGGCATTTAGAGCCTGTGTGTAATCAGAGACAGGAATGACATATGGACTGTATGCTTGTAACGGATGGTAGCATCTGTACTGAGCATATCATTTGGAAAATAGCTGAAGTTGGAATCTGTCATGTCTTCAACTTTGCCTCACAGTTGAAGTGAAAAGCGTAAAAGAGAATTAAATAACCAGTGATCAACCTGTAATCACCAAATTGTTATTTCCTAATGACGCTTGTGGTTGATAGTACCATATTCGACGTAATAAGCGCCCCACTCTAATAAGCACCCAGGGCGATATTTGCTTATATATTGTGAACAATCCCAATTAGCACCCCTTTCAATTGATCAATGTACACAATATTTATTTATTCGTGTATAATATGCATTCATGTGTTATATGCACCCTTAATTATGGGCAATTAAATTCTGGAAAAATATATCTGTCGTGTATTATACGCACAGACTTTTCTTTTGTATCATTTCAGGTTGTTAGCATAAACCACGAAATTCATGAACTTTCAACTCTTTCATCCAAATTTTATTCTAATAAGGGCCCCCTATTTCTAATTTTGAGAGCGCCCTGGCGCTTTTTACGTCGAATACAGTATATCAAACGTCCCACCCAGTGGATGTGGATACATACATTGAGCTGTAGACCCTTGGGTGTGCTCTAGACAGCTATCTAATAGGGGTGAAATTATATACAGGAAGGCCATGTTACGATATGTATCATGATATATAGGTCACGATATGATATGTAGCGCGATACACATATTTTTGTCAAATCTCGTTGAACCTTCTTGGCTATAAATATTTCAGAGCAGGTTCAAAGGAAAAGCTAGCTCTAGACACATGTTCGTAGCGGCTATTTTTAGTAGTGAACTCTTGAGTGTGCTGTAGACAGTTACCGACATAGGTACCTACACTTATACATGAGCTGTACACAGACACCTACCATGAGCTGTACAGAGACACCTACCATGAGCTGTACACAGACACCTACCATGAGCTGTACACAGACACCTACCATGAGCTGTACACAGACACCTACCATGAGCTGTACACAGACACCTACCATGAGCTGTAGACAGTTACCGACATAGGTACCTACACTTATACATGAGCTGTACACAGACACCTACCATGAGCTGTACACAGACACCTACCATGAGCTGTAGACAGTTACCGACATAGGTACCTACACTTATACATGAGCTGTACACAGACACCTACCATGAGCTGTAGACAGGCACTTACCATGAGCTGTAGACAGACACCTACCATGAGCTGTACACAGACACCTACCATGAGCTGTACACAGTTACCGACATAGGTACCTACACTTTTACATGAGCTGTACACAGACACCTACCATGAGCTGTAGACAGTTACCGACATAGGTACCTACACTTATACATGAGCTGTACACAGACACCTACCATGAGCTGTAGACAGTTACCGACATAGGTACCTACACTTATACATGAGCTGTACACAGACACATACCATGAGCTGTACACAGACACCTACCATGAGCTGTACACAGTTACCGACATAGGTACCTACACTTTTACATGAGCTGTACACAGACACCTACCATGAGCTGTACACAGACACCTACCATGAGCTGTACACAGTTACCAACATAGGTACCTACACTTTTGCATGAGCTGTACACAGACACCTACCATGAGCTGTAACTAATGTGGACTCCTGTGTGAGCTGCCTGATGCCTGCTGTGTTGAGGGAGCTGCTCCACCCAGTGTTGAGGTAGTGCCTCTTACCCCGCCTTGTGTAGGCTAAATAAACAACACACATATGCCAACCATTATCGAATAGTTCACCATATTTGCCTCATGACATTACAACACAGATAATTACAACATTGTATAGATAAATAAATCACTAATTTTGTGTGTACAGGTTATTGCCATTTCCAGGATATTTTACAAGAAACTTACACATGATAATCTTAACCTCTGTATATAAACCAATGCCTAGCATAACAGGAAATAAAACAGAAATTATCAATGTCTTATTACAAAATTCACATTTTTATTTTTCACCAATTATGCTACCCTGAAGCAATATGCTGTAGCTTTTAACTGTACACAATATACGAAATATCAATTTTTCCAGAAACTGGTATTAGAAAATGGTGTGTGCGCATTATGTACTCAAGTGCATGCTGTATACAACAAAATATGCTATCGAATGAAATCTTTAAGGTGAGGTGAGGTGAGGTGAAATGAGGTTTAACGTCGTGTCCAAGATTATTGCACTTATATAGCGACGTGCATGTACGTGTGTGTGTTTGTGTGGCTGCTTGTACTAGTCCGGACTGATGCCGATTTATAGTGCTAGCTCATTGGGATACCATGCCGCAGTTTAACATGAATACCCCACTCAGACACAGTATACTGACTCTGAGCCGACCAGTCCTTGTTTTAGCCCCTTAATGCAGAGCGCCGGACAGGGTAACAACATGTACCATCTTTTAACGTCTTTTGGTATGACGCGGTCAGGGATCGAACCCCGGACCTTCCGCTCCCTGGGCGGACGCTCTACCACTAGACCACGGAGGCGGTCGAAATCTTTAAGACGTTTTAAAGGCCAACATTTCAAATGGCGCCAAGTGTTGGGGACACCACGTACACCAACAGGAGACAATACTTGTAAACAACACGTGGAATCAGTCAAGAAACTTGTCACATTGAAGACATCTGTTATATAAAACTAGAAGTCTCACTGTACATTTGAAAATCTTACTGGCCACAACCCAGTGATAACATCTACTTCTGTGTACTACATGCACACACCTGGAAAAAACACATGGACCAGACTATATTCCAGACATCCATTTATCATCATACAAATAATTACTCGTGAAGAGGTCAATATGTGAAAACAAGGACCCGATCCCTGAGGTTAACTGACTGGACCAAGGCTGCAGCCAAAGTCCGGTGAGACCGCCATAGGGTACAGGTCCGGGGGTCCTCGTTTTCACATATTTACCTCATCAAGAGTAATCATTCGTTCTGTTTCACCACAATTCACTTTAACGTCTATGAAGTCTTCAAAACTATCCTCTGTTTCATTACAGTAACTTAGCTGCGAACCATGAAATATTCCTACAAGACACCACGTACACCAACAGGAGACAATACTTACAGGGAGAACATATTCCGCCGACAGTGCCTAGTCTCGGTGACCCTATGTACGCCAGGCCCAAGACGCCGCCGCTGAAACTCTGGTATGTGAAGAGATGTGCCAGGCAGAATCGACCAAAATACACATGGCTGCTGAACTCCTGTTCCAAAAATGAAAGAATAATTACATTATTACATGAAATGTGACACTAACCTTATGATGATAACAAATGTTAATTTTCATCAAATGTTTCCACAATAATTGAGGCAGGAAGTATCATTCTTTCTACATTATATTTTGTTTAAACAAACTGTTCAAGTCAACTGTAGACATTAACCGTCACCAAAAGTGATTCACATAAATGTTTGGTAAATTGCATGCATTTTTCTTCATCTACTCTGGGTACAAAAGAATTACACCATTTTGTCCGTAAAGACATAAATTTTGATATTTAAACTAAAGGGGTGCTTATTAAAACCATACACAATCAGTGTTCCCACTGGCTTTTGAAACTGCCGGTCCTTGTGGACTGGCAACTCTAAAAATTACCAGTCCCCCCTAATTTTTGCCAGTCCCACCTTTCAACAAATAGAAAAATGTATGAAAATTATTTGGTTTTAATTCTTTCAACATAATGTTCAGTGCAAAGATGTCATGTCTGAAGGACCTTAGTTATATCTTTATGTCATTCACTAAACCTTCAGTCACAATTTACTCTCTCTTTTTTTTTGATATTTGAGACGAGGTCGCTACAAATAGATATTCAACCTATATATAGACCAGGGGAACCCTGATGGTAACGGACAAGCTGACTTTGTTCGAAAAATGTATATCGATATGAATATCACCTATGTTTTCTTCAACAAAGAAGGATTTATAAGGAACTTTATTTGCCGGTCCACAGGGACTGGCAGTCACATGAATTACCGGTCCAAGCCTAATTTTACCGGTAAAAAACTGGTAATTACTGGTAAACGGGAACGCTTCACAATGAATTAAAAAAATGTTCAGAGATTATGTAGTAGTGAACAAACTTGGTTCAAACAATGTCAGTGAAACCTTTACAGTAACAGTTGCACAGCAATTAAACACCCCTTTTGCGCTGCTGTTTTCTGTAAAAAATGAACTGTCATGTAAATTTTCAGTCATAGTTGGGGGCGCTTATAAAGATTACATACAGAATTGTTCAGAAGTTGATCACGGGTAGGGTGCTTAATACAGCAAATACGGTACTGGTTTGGAAAACAAGATGATGGCCCCAACAAAACTGCGACCAGTCTTCGTTGATCTGAGATCCTACATCACAGTTGCATGCATTTGCATAAAGTCGACATTTAGAGTATGAATAACGTTAACATATTAAACTGGATCAACGTCAATACTACCAACATGGCCGCCTTACATTCAGCAGCTGGCGTGTGTCCCACTGGCTGGGGTTCTTCATGTTGTAGTGTTTTTCTCCCTTAGCTACAGTTGTAGGCTTGTTGTGGATACGCATCTGTAAACAACACGTGGAATCAGTCAAGAAACTTGTCACATTGAAGACATCTGTTATATAAAACTAGAAGTCTCACTGTACATTTGAAAATCTTACTGGCCACAACCCAGTGATAACATCTACTTCTGTGTACTACATGCACACACCTGGAAAAAATACAGACTATATTCCAGACATCCATATATCATCATACAAATAATTACTCTTGAAGAGGTCAATATGCAAAAAACAAGGACCTGATCCCTGAGGTTAACAGACTGGACCAAGGCTGCAGCCAAAGTCCGGTGAGACCGCCATAGGGTACAGGTCTGGGGGTCCTCGTTTTCACATATTAACCTCATCAAGAGTAATCATTCGTTCTTTTAAACCGCAATTCACTTAACGTTTATGAAGTCTTCAAAACTATCCTCTGTTTCATTACAGTAACTTAGCTGCGAACCATGAAATATTCCTACAAGACGCCATCTTGTTTTCTAGCAGACGAGTCAATATTCATCACGAGACAGGTCAGTACTAATCATGTGACAGGTCAATATTCAAGGTCAGTGTCAGTCACATGATTTCGGGGGCTTCCCTGAAATGTATTGTTTCATCACATGGTACAGATTAACCAATGGAATTGCGAGATTCTTAACAGAGGAAAAACAATTGCAAATATCATCATGTGATATTGACCTCAATTTGATAAACGTCTCAGATACCACTGATACCTAATGAAAGGTTTGGCATAAGAGCCCTGCATCTGCCTGGTCGCAAGGACTGGGTCGTACTTAAGATGCAATGAAGCAGCTAAGAATTGAACGGAGAGTAATTTAGCTATCATGGAATATTTTAAATATGTTTAGTAAATAGACAAGATATTGGAATATATTATTCCTGATAAAAAAAATAGCTTCAGATACAATTTTTGCCGATCCTTGCATTTAAAATCCTGTAAAGTTATATCATTGGGATTGTCTTGACCGAATCACCGGTAGATTCCAAGAAAACGTGTGTACAGCTGATTGCTGTTTCCGGCTTAGTTTACGAGAAAATACACAAGGTAATCTTAATCCCTGGATATAAAACAATGCCTAGCAGAACAATAAATACTATTTAAACGGGAAATCAACATGTCTGGTGATTTTTTTATCTCAAATTCACCTGTTCGTTTGCCGGACTCCGCTGAAGGGGTACAGTGTAATTTTTTTCTGCGCTTGGTATTCAAATTTATTTTTTCCAAAATACTGAACCCGCTAGAGGGGGGTGCGTATTATACATGGGTGCGCACTATACTCAAGAAAATACGGTAGTTACCAAACATGTCACTAGGCTTAAAAAAATAAAAAATTGGTTCTCAGGCAATGACTTTTGAAAATATAGCACGGATTAGTGGTTGTTCCTTTTTCTTTTGCTTGTTCAAACTGGTATGTAACCAAATAAAAATTGTGTACCATGAACCTGGGAAAGGGCCTCACTACATAAGCAAGCATACAAACTCCTATTGCCACCATGTTAATACGAGATGCGCAGTGAAGCAGTGCCCATGTAAAGGGAAGTAACTGTGTGCTAAATTCTTGTTAAGTATTAGGATTTTATATATTTTTTTTTTAAATGGAAATAAAAACGAAACGTGCGGCAGACTTTATGATGATGCAGGCGGTGCCTGAGAACCAAGACTATTATTTCTTTAGCAGTACATAATCAATTTTGGTTTCTCTATATTAATATGACTACGTATCTTTTTTAACCCAAACAAATGTGTTTCATCAGAACCAAAAAAATGGACACAATTAATAAAATTGCTATTAGGTATCGAATGTATAGTTATCGATGCTCCATTATTGCCAGGAGTACATGTAGAGCAGGTAGTGGACTCATTCCAAAGATGACATCCTGCCATTAACAGAGTCACCCTGCTGTGTTAAGTAAAGGCATCTTGTTCCCAGGGTTTTGATTCCTAAATAAGGACGTTTGGCAGGCAAACTGTGAATTTTTTTTGAAAATTGTTTCATGTTAATGTTCTCATTTTTATAAAAAAATCTGAGGAATTCGGAAATTCTTAATTAAAAATGTGAATTTTTACTGTTATTTGCTGCAGGCTTGTGACCAAATATCGGCCCCTGGTCAAGACCAGATACATCCCTGAGTTCCTCATCTAAGTTTTGGCAATTCCAGTCCTATCCTGATGTGGGTTTTCATAACTAGTCAGTATTACCTGCATATTTCAGTTATAGCAGAGAGTGTGCATAGTCTGATAGCATTGTTTGATAGCCAAACCCAGATGGGGCTGTAAAAGTTGCCTGAACCCTGTGTTGGAATCTGACACACATCTTCGGACAGACAAGTGAACACTTCAAGCCTATACCCCACAGCAACTATAGCGTGAAAGAATAAAATGCTGGTAGTCATGGTAACACACAATCTCACCTCTTTGATCTGAAATCCAAATCCTATCTGTCCCTTTTCCTTATTCCATAGCGTGTCACGGTAAATGTTGTCTATCCTCTGGATCAGCCCAATCTGAAAACACAATGTATCCTGGCGTGGAGTCATCCCACAGATGACATCATTACCTTGTCAACTTGCTTAACCTTTTTGGTCATGTGGACAAGGCGTCCAACCTTGGAAAGAAGGTCCGTCTTTCGAAACCCATCAGGGTACTTGGTAATTCAATGGTCGCTACATTGCCTCCCTATGTGGGGCTGAGCAAGTTAATTTCATAGTTGCGCAAAGTAAGTCTTAATACCCTACAATGCGACCTGGGACGTGCCTTCTGTTGACGGAGGAGTATGTAGCAGGGCGTGGAGTCATCCCACAGATGACATCCTTACCTTGTCAGCTTGCTGACGGGGTTAACCTCTTTGGTCATGTGGACAAGGTGTCCGACCTCGGATCAGAAGGTAGTTTTCGAACAACAACTATCGTCCTGTGATCTTTTATGTTTGCTGTTGTATTTGAGTCAAGGGACCAAGGTAATGCCAAGGACCATTTGACTCTTATGCTTAATTTCAAACACTGCCTAAGAACTGCCTTGCTCAGTTGTCCACGTAGTCTCAGCTCATGCAGATCTTGAAGCAAAATAAAAGCAGATCATTTTGTATTTTATAGAATTCAAATACAATACAGTATTATTCTTTCGAACAAACCTAACAGATATAAGCATAAAAGACGAGGAAAAATTGATTAACTGATTCTCAGGCAATCTTCAAACAATGTTCCAGTTTGAGAGGCCAGTTTTATTTGTTTGAAAAAACGTGCACCTAGGGGGTTTTGAATTCACATTTTTTGTGTCCGATGTGTTTTTGTGTCAGTTATATCCACTGCCACCATCCCACATCAATGACACAAATGTCACCATCTTTGAGATAATATGACCACATTTGATACCACTGTCTTGAGTGGATTTCTTACCAAATAGTTTGCAGTTCGATGTTTGAAACCTCCGCCAACACCTTCATAAAACAAGTAGTCTGCGACCAAGATTAGGTTGCAAGTGTTTTTATTTAGCAGCCATGCTTGCCTCTTCTGACGTCCATGATCTGAAAGACAAACAAATATATTGCTTATTAATTGTTTGTTTGTTTGCTTGTTGTTTAACAGCACTCTAAGTAACTCTGTATGGTTGTGGTCTGTAAATAACTGAGTCAGGACCAGCCAATCCAGTGATTGACATAATGAGCATCAATCTAAGCAACTGGGTATGATGACATGCATCAACCAAGTTAACGAGCCTGACCACCCGATACCATAAGTCGCCTCTGAAGACAGGCATGGGTTGCTGAAGATCAATCCTAAACAATATCTTCACTGGTTTATTGTTTATTATGCCCAAATATGATAATAACCCCTCAAACAGTTATGCAATCATTACTTTGGAAAGAGCTCAATTCTGATTGGCTAATCATAGGTTTCAAATCACAAAAAGAGCACATGGTTCCAAATTCAATTTAGCTCATTTTAATCTACATGTTACCCATAGCTCTGCCATGTCTACATTTGGAACAAAGTAAGATTATCTCCAGGATCAGCTTAATGTCAGGTTATGGATACAGGACTTGCTTTTGCCAAATGGCATTGTTTTTTAATATCTGTATATAAGAGAGGAAGTCAACAGAGAACACAGTAATGTATCTGTGACAATCATATCAGAGGCCCAGTGGGTATGTGCCCAAGAGTCTTCTATTTTTCCAGCTACTATAGTCATTTGATGCACATAAAGGAGGTCTCGCGGGGGACATAACGTTAGACACCGCATAGATATAGAGTGTCTGCCCTGGCAGTGGAAGATCGATTCTCAAGCATGTAAGACCCAAAGACTTTAAAAGAAGTTACATGTTGTTGCCCTGCCTGGTGCAGGTCGGTGCACTGGTGTCTGAGTGGGGTATTCATGTTAAAACTGTTGAGTGGTATCTCAGTGGGCTAGCACTATAACACCGGCATTAGTTTAGACAAGTACAAGCAGCCACACACATGGCTTGTAATTGGAATAATCTTGAAGGGAACGTTAAACGCAATTTCACCTCACTTCACCCATAATGCTATATTGTCTCATGTAATATATTGTATTTTCGGAATTCAATTTTCAATGCTTCGCTGTATTTTAAACTTAGACTAAATGAAAGCGCACACCTGCTGAATCTGTCTGGTTTTCTTCTGATTCCTCATCAATTTCTCCCTCTCCAATATCAGGATGAATACTCTCACATATACTTTGTCTGAAAAAAAGAAATATGTTACCATGGTTACAGTGATTTCCTTACTAAATATTTCCAAGATAAACCTTCTGTGTTTTCAATTCAGGTTACAAACTCTGATGTGAAACCTGTATCTTTACAATTTATAACCTCATGAAAAGATGTACAGTTTTGAATGAAGTTACAGGTATCAAATCTACATTTGAAAACTCTCAATTGAAAATGCAGTTGTTTTATTTCCTAATTCACTTAAGACAGATAATCTGTAGTTCTTCATAGCTATAATTTCACAGTCTTGTACATCATCCGACACCCACCTCTTGTTGCTGTGGTTGGACAGGTGAGGGTAGGCGTGGTCCCACTTGATGTCAGAGTGGCGGTATGCAATCAGGGTGTGGTTGTCTGAGGGAGGCAGGTGTCTCCATGACGGCTGAAAGATCATCAAATAATTTAGGGGAATTGATTCTGGTTTATAATAATAATAATAATAAATAAATAAATAAATAAAATAAAATAAAATAAAATAAAATAAAATAAAATAAAATAAAATAAAATAAAATAAAATAAAATAAAATAAAATAAAATAAAATAAAATGAAATAATAATAATCATCATCATCATCATCAATTTGCATGGCTCTTTTCCATGCTGGTTATCATGTTCCAAACACACAGAGAGAATTATAACTTCAGGTGAAGGATCAGTGTGTGCATTCCATTGTCATTCTCAGCTCCCTTGGGAGGATACAACCAAGATTGCCTGTGAGATGCTAGAAGGTTAACAGTCACATTACCATCTCATCCTACCAGGTACCCACCCACTGCTGGATGAACAAAGGCATATTGAACAAACAACATTGAACAGAGTTTCCTGCCTTGGGTGACATAACATGTGCTTCAGTGTGGGGCAGGACCGAAGCAACTTCTCTCCCCGACCAACATTGCTAAACCTGATTTGTGACCTGTGCACAGCGCAAACAGATGTGAAGCCCTCATACAATCTCCGTTAAATCAAAGAATGGACTTCTCCACATACCTAAGCTCCTGCTTTGGATGTTAAACAAGTTCAAGCCTATTTGTACCAAGGTATATAAGAGGACAAGGCCACATAGTATTTGTTCACTACGATCAACTGGCCAAACACGACACAAACATAACCTCTCGAACCATGAACACTCTGTTGTATTAACTTCATTCTTCAAGTTTAGCCATGCGTAAAATGTCGCCAACATCGTTTTGAGTAGGTACCCTGAATAGTAATAAGTAAATATTTACACACAGGCTAACCTGCTGTTTACTCTGGTGTGTTCACAGACTTCAGGACAAAGTGAAAGCCTCTGATTGACAATGTCTGGAGCAGTTCCGCAAGAGGTGAGGTGAAATGGGGTTTAACGTCGCGTCCAAGAATATTGCACTTATATAGTGACGTGCATGCACGTGTGTGTGTGTGTATGGCTGCTTGTACTAGTCCGGACTGATGCCGATTTATAGTGCTAGCTCACTGAGAAACCATGCCGCAGTTTAACATGAATACCCCACTCAGACACAGTATACTGACTCCGAGCCGACCAGTCCTTGTTTTAGCCCCTTAATGCAGAGCGCCAGACAGGGTAACAACAAGTACCATCTTTTAACGTCTTTTGGTATGACGCGGTCAGGGATCGAACCCCGGACCTTCCGCTCTCCAGGCGGACGCTCTACTACTAGACCACAGAGGCGGTCCCAGTTCCGCAAGAAACAATATGTGATTATGATTGTGTTTTACCTTATTAATATCAGCCATTCTGAGTAACAAAACAATTAACGGGGTATGAATCGTCCCATTTTGTCCCATTTTTCTAATGCTTAATGCTGTAAATATCAGCTAGCACAGCTCTAGATAAGCTTTTGGTTATTTGCGTATATTACCCATGGGTTGGATTTTTATTGGGCAGCCACAATTTTTAGTGTGTAAACATATTTTTTCACCCACGTTTCTTTTCATTTGGATATTTTAACTTGAAAACCGATTCCATAACAATCCCCATAAATCAAATGAATAGTACGTTTTCCGAATGTAACTGTCGGTAAATGAATTTTGTGATTGGCTGATACACAATTGTTGTATCTAACAGTAGTAATATAAAAAACTGATATACATATTAGTTTTATTTCAAAAGCATTTTTATAGTTTTTGTTATGTGTTTGATACACTGGGGATTTAATTTGTCTGCATATTTCATTTCAATTTATGTACTTTTTCAGCAAATACACAGCTTACGTAACACGTTGGCTTTTTTGTACCACGTCTACTGGTAATATATGTAACTTTTAAAATTAAGAATTTGTCTTAAGCTTAATATATATACAGAGCTGGAAATGACAGATAATGCACCTACCGTATTTTCTTGAGAATAGTGCACATTTTAGAAGCGGGTGCACATTATACAAACCATAATGAGTTTTGATGTTTTTTCCCCCAACGGAATGATATTACCGTGAGCACGTAACACCGGAAATACCATGTCAACAAATCCATACTGAAGTACGCAAATTAATCATGTAATTAAACTGTCTGGCCATAAAAAGTGTTCTTTGTATATCTGGACTTATGTTTGTAACTTATTTCATAAATTTTATTAAAAATACCTTTTAATATTGTTTTAATTAATTTCGGCGAAATCGTGTGTGAAGCGATTGGAAGATCGCACAACTCACTGTTATTAACAGCAACCACGGTCAGATTACCACGACTGACGCCTTGAAATGAACTTCAGTTGACAGAGAATGGATACATATGTCACAAATGCCATATTTTGACTCGTTAAAAGTCATATTTGTTATAGTTTGACGATTCTATATCAACATGTAGTTCTCGCGATCACGTGCGCGGGAGCCTCGACGGTGACTGGTCAAACTGGTTCCATGTAAAATCAAAATTGTTATTGATAATGGTAAAGTGATAATCTTGGGCAAGGTTACAAGCCTCCAGATAAGCTTTGTATTTGCGTAACAGTCCAGGTACACAAATTAAATCAGAATTAACATGATTAGAGAAACTATCTCATTATGCTTTAATTGCATACAAATATTCATGACATATTTCAAAACCCCAACAGCATAAGAATTAACAACAGTTTACATCATAAACATTCTAGACACACGACCGTTTAAAAGAATGAAAGAGTGAATGTATGTTGTTTTAGGGTGCAGTTAGCCATGTTTCTGTCCTAGAGGGATGACAATAATACACTGGGCAAAGCAAACCAATGGTCGATGACATGAGCAACAATCCTCATCCTCAGGGTTCAATGACACACAATCTGCGAAGTCACGTTCTTATTTTAGTCATCTCTCATGACACTGTTTGTTTGTTTGTTTGTTTATTTGACGCCACACTCAGCAATATTCCAGCTATATGATATGACGGCGGTATGTAAATAATTGAGTCTGGATCATACAATCCAGTGATGGACCTCATGAGCATCGATCTACGCTATTGGGATACAATGACATGCAACAACCTAGTTACCAAGCCTGACCACCTGATCCTGTTAGTCGTCTCTTACGACAAGCGAAGTCGCCTCTTACAGCCAGCATTGGTTGCTGAATCTCATGACTCGATCAGCATAGGTAGCTGGTGACCCATTTCACGCTGGAATCGCCACTGTTGGGGGTACAGGAACATACCACTTGTTCTACAGGGGATCTGATTACCTCAACAGAGTAAACATCATCTTTCATTGCCACTTGAATATTCCACTGTGAGTCTTCTAAATGAGCATCAACTACACCCTCTCCATCTGAAAAAAACAAAGTTAAAGATTTCAATAAAACATATGTATACTACTCATCATTTGAGAAGGATACAGGACTATAATACTGATATGTAATTAGAGTAAGTGAGTGAGTGAGTGAGTATGGTTTTACGCCGCTTTTAGCAATATTCCAGCAATATCACGGCGGGGGACACCACAAATGGGCTTCCCACATTGTACCCATGTCGGGAATCGAACCCGGGTCTTCGGCGTAACGAGAAAATGCTTTAACCACTAGGCTACCCGACCGCCCCGTTATGTAATTAGAGGACTGGACTGGTGTACTTGAATTGTGTACTTACTTTTTTTAACTTTAAATAACGCTTCAGTTGCATGGAAGTATTGGATAAAATTTGTATTACAACATCTTCAAGCAGCCAATTAAACACATTCAGGTCCCAAACTCAGAATATCCCTATCAAATGTTGACTATCATATTAAAGGTGGATATGATACTCAAGGAAAATATTATTTGGGATGATACCAGTATCACACCGAACACACAGATTCAAACTATGAACTATTGTGTAATGAGATGAGCACTTTGTCCACAGGACTAAAGATCTGAACCCAAAAGACAGCAGAGATGCATCTTGGATTCAGGAATTCGAAGCGGAAGAGAGTGGTTCAGATGCTAGCTCTGGCAAAACTCAGTAATGCAGAGCTCCAGAAATGCGGTATATTTGTGTAAATTGCAAACAATAAGACACCATAACCCAATTAATTTAAAACAAGCATGAAATACTCATATCCAAAAGCAATATGACCTGTCCAGTTGTGTGCAAGGAAAGAAATATTGTACAGTTTGCAAGATCTGCTCCGAAAATGAGCACAACCATGGGTGAGTGAGTGAGTGAGTGAGTGAGTGAGTGAGTGAGTGAGTGAGTGAGTGAGTGAGTTTGGTTTTACGCCGCTTTTAGCAATATTCCAGCAGTATCACGGCGGGGGACACCACAAATGGGCTTCACACATTGTAACCATGTCGGGAATCGAACCCGGGTCTTCGGCCTGACGGGCTAACGCTTTAACCACTAGGCTACCCGACCGCCCGAATAACACAAGAAACAGTGCTACATCTTGTTTATTGTAACTTAGATACAAATTGGAAGTCACCTGCATCATAATCGGGCCTCGGAGTAGAAGTATATTGAATACCCAAAGACAACCATCAATATCCAGTGTGAATGATAACATGCGAGTAAACATGCCATGGCTCAATTATCTGGCGCCCTGGTTCTGTTCAATGTTAGGGAGGTCGGGTAGCCTAGTGGATAAAGTGTTCGCTCGTCACGCCAAACCTGGGTTCGGTTCCCGACATGGGTACAATGTGTGAAGCCCATTTCTGGTGTCCCCTGCCGTGATATTGCTGGAATATTGCTAAAAGTGGCCTAAAACCATACTCACTCACTCACTGTTCAATGTTAACAAAGTGCAAACAAACAAACCTGTTAAATGTCCAGTATAGAACTCATTCCGGTTGATATGAAATGGCTCTGTATGTCCATCTTCGTTGACAGTGAAAGATTTGAAAGAGTTGGACAAAACTCTGGTGTCAGGTTTCATCACCATATTGAAGTTTCTGAAACACATGGCACAATAAATACGATAGAAATCTTTCCCAATGAATATATACCAAACAGTGTCAAAAATAAAGCTTAAACGTCTAGAGGTCTAATAAGCCTAATGTTAAAGGTTAAATATTTAGGTGGTCTCTGGATTCAAAACTGCCTCCGTGGTCTAGTGGTAGAGCATCCGCCCATAGAAAGCGGAAGGTCGGGGGTTTGATTCTTGGCTGCGTCATACCAAAGGATGGTACATGTTGTTACCCTGCCTGGTGCATGGCATTAAGGGATAAAACACGGACTGGTCGGATCTGAATCAGTATGCTGTGTCTGAGTGGGGTATTCATGTTAAACTGCGGCATTGTTTGTTTGTTGTTTAACGCCGCACTCAGCAATATTCCAGCTATATGATGGTGGTCTGTAAATAATTGAGTCTGGACCAGACAATCCAGTGATTGACATCATGAGCATCAATCCGCTATTCGGATCGATGACCATTAACCAAGTCAGTGAGCCTGACCACCCAATCCCCTAAGTCGCCTCTTACGACAAGCATAGTCGCCTTTTACGACATGCATGGGCTGCTGCAGACCTATTTTACCCCGGATCTTCATGGGTGTCATGGTATGTGAGTGGGCTAGCACTACAACACCGGCTTTAATGCAGCCACAATTCACACACACCTAGCTATAAAAGTGCAATAATTTTGAACATGATGTTCAACCCCATTTGGCCTGACTTCTCTTATCGCTTGGGGGCATGGGTGGCCCAGTCGTCTAAGGCGCCACGATTCGCTGTGCAGAGTTGCGTCCCTTGGGCATGCCAGAAACCTATGATTGTGGGTTCGAATCCTGGTTTGCCCCCATTATGTTTCTAGGTTTGTCAGCACCATACCCGTGCTCGTGGGTTTCACCGAAGTGGTAAACGTCTGAGACCTGCATCACTTCGGGCTTTCCTCCAACATTAAGCTCACACGCCGCGATATAACTGTAATACTGTTAAAAGCGGCGTTAAACCCAACTCACTCACTCTGGCGCAGAATACGTACAGGATTCCTCTCTTTCGGGAGAGTACTTTGACTGGACAGCTCTATATCGATAGTAATTGATTTTTCTAGAGACAAATGGTATTAGAACATTTTTATGATACTAGCAACGTTTGATTGGTCATTTTTCTATAACATAACCAGTATGGATCCCTGTAAGCAATATGAGGCAATTGTATATAAAGTCCTACCTTCCTAAGGCACTGAACCAGACTTCCTTATAAGCTGCACTCTGTCCATCCGCACTTCTCTTGACACGACTCCGCACCTCCACTGATTTCAGGGTTTCAAAATAATGTAATTTACTGTCTATATTACCTGTAAACAAAACAGACACTGTAAATAACACCAGTTTACATGTTGGCTACACATTCTTCGCAAAATAATAACTTAACAATTAATCATTAGTCAGGGTGCAATTTTGTTTTCTGGTATAGGCTGCAGCTAACAACTGATTGCACAACAGATACACTACTGGAAAATTAAAACATAAAGACCTGCACTCAGACAATGTTAGTTTACTCATCTTACGACACACTTGTTTAATTTTTAAGCGACTGTGTGCTGGTACAAGTATATCTACAAGTCTTTGATTTGGTTTGGTTTGTTGTTTTACGCCGCACTCAGCAATATTCCAGCTATATGACGGCAATCTGTAAATAATCGAGTCTGGACCAGACAATCCAGTGATTGATATCATGAGCATCGATCCACGAAATTTGAATCGATGACATGCTTCAACCAAGTCAGCGAGCCTGACCACCCCATCCTGTAAGTCGCCTCTTACTACAAGCATAGTCGCCAATAATGGGTTGCTGAAGACATATTCTACCCAGGGACAAGTCTTTAAATGACATTTAGATTTTTTTATGGATGTCAACTTCTTTATTATCAGTATATAACATCATACATGATCATAATCACCTCATAAGAATTATCATGTTACATTTGAACATTTGTTGGGAATAAAGTACAATAAATCAACATACTTTCCTTGTTATAATTTAGCCAATGCGCCCCTCACTCCATGCAGATAAAAAATTGTATTTCTTAATCGTTTTGCTTGTGTGTTTAAAATCCAAAGATGTCTGCTGTCCCACTACGCAGCAGATTTTCTGGGTTATAATGATTACCTGTTTGCTATCATTATCAGCATGATCAGCTGATTTCGTTATGCTTTGACATTTGTCAACATCAATCACAAAGCAATTTTATTTCTATTTGTTTCGATCTTGTATACATGGCATAAATTTGAAGCAAGTGATATTTATTCACCTGTTTGTGGAGCATGATACCAACTGCACTCAGTGCAGTCTGTTTATAAACAGAGTCAGCAGAAGCTGATCTGAACCTGCAACAGTGCAGTCTTGTCAATTGGAAATAATAGCCTGAAGTCTGCAGAATCGTTTCAGAAATACCGCTATATCCTAGATGGTGCAAATAATGCACTCACTGTGTTGAAAGAGAAAATCTTATAACATGACTCCCTAATATTCGAATGTCAATACTGCCCTGCTGATGCGTTACTTTCAACTTCCCACCTAAGGGAGCTGTTATTGATTAAGCTATACATAGAGCTGGCATAACAGCTAGGGGTGTCCAAGTGCAGCAGTTACAGATAGATGTAACGCCTGTCATTTTCTAACCCGAACTCATAGATAAGATTTCGTATTTAAGTTGCTAATTCTTAGATGGGATGTCACATTAAATATTTAACTTATGACGGTGTCGACTACCGGTGACTCTTGTAAGGAATAACATGATCCTTAACATATTTTGCATTTATGTTGCCATTGAGCAGTGTTGGATAGTTGAAAAGACGTGACATTACTGTCAAATTGTGTTCTGAATGAATTTAACAGGCTAGCTGTTTAGACAGAAAATCATTTTCGTATTACTTTTGTGAGTGTCATGGTTATTTTTAGATATTGAATAAAAAACGTCTGTCAAATATCTGAGAATCTTATGTTAAACATAAATATACATATTCATTGCTAATTCCAAAGATAAAAAGCATTAATTATCTTACCTTGCACTAATTTTAAACACAAACACACTACGACCATGGGTATACACTTCATAATGCTGGAATGAGATAGTCAGAACGTTCTTGAAACTTGAAATCACATTTCGTTTGGCCGTGTTACTAAATGCGGAAGTGTTTTGGGTTATAATAAGCTCGCTATCAGCGCGTGCTATCAAATTCTGCATTAGACGTATCAAGCTGACGGAGGGGGTAGTCGCTGCGAGGAGCTTTAGCTTGGAAATCACCGCATTGCAGTGTCCTCTAGCGGGGAAACCTCAGTCCAGAGGAGACGTCCCAGTTAATGTGGCCATATATATATATATCGATGATATATATGTTGAACTCACGGATTTTAGGTGATCCTTGCATGATTGTCGAATTTGAAAGTGTATTGCAAATGCAGATTATTAATGACTGTCCATTATTTCCATCTGATTTAATTACTTCAAAGTTAGGCACCTCTTCCGTGACGACTAATGGGATGGGGGTGGTCAGCCTCGCTGACATTATTGATGTGGTCATCGTAGGTCGATGCTCATGATACCAGTCACCGGATTGTCTGGTCCAGACTCGATTAATCACAGACCGTCGTCATACAGCTGGAATATTGCTGTGAGCTGCGTTAAACAACAACAAAAAACAATAACATTCCCTCAAAGTAATCGTTTTACGATCTTTGAGTGGCACCAATACTTGGATATGTATAACCACAAGTTTACACAATGGTATGGATGATTGGCTCCTTTATTATAAATGAAGTAACAATGGGGATTATTCTAACACTTGCTTGAAAACTGTTAAAATCATCATAGAAACGTCTTTTTTTCTTTAAATAGATTAGAACGAACTGAAAATGTAAAATTCAAATATTCTTCCAAGCAATTGCTGTCAAATTATCTAGTAATCTATATTTCCCATTAGAAATGCACAGTAGTTTGAAGGGAGAAGATAATTTGAGGCGTAACTTTTTCAATATCACGAATCACTTATAGTCAATGAAAACATGTCTTTAAAATATATTTTTTTTAAATCGAAAGAACCTTTCCTCTTCTGCTGTTTTCATACGGAATCAAGCAAACTATAGACTTAGTTAGTTTGATCTAGACTTGCCTAGGCTTTTAGTAAAAACAAATACCTAAAAAATATAAATTCCAGTCATGGTGAAGGTCTAGGGTCCCGTAAGCCCGTTCCACAAAACGATCGTAGCACCTTAGGCCGTAAAACCCATACTTTTGACTTAAGACAATCGTAGGAATTCCAAATTTAAGATCACTTTGTTGGACGGGCCACTGGACTGGTTGGCTGTGTACACAGTATAAGGAAGATTGACAAATAATGGGATTTTCTATGGAAACTAGATATTTTTTTAACAACTACAAAACCAGATATTAAAACTATGGGCCTAAATAATTTATTGTATAAAAAACACCTTGCAACAATGTAACTTTTTTCAGACAATCTCTTTTTCTTTTAAACTGCATGAAGTAAAATTATGTTTTTCAAGAATTTACGGGGGCAATTTAGTTTATCGATCCTCGCCCATCTCCCCCATCACACCCCGTAGTCATTACGGGTATCTAACTGCAAAGGAAGATGCACAAATAAGTCACAATATTTTATCTCTTCATGATACAGAAGGGGACAAGCTTTCACCTATTTTCACAATGAAGAAACTACATATTTTAAAAAAATAATATGAATCACATCGTTATGTCGTTAATCACAAATAGATATCGTGTCTGAATTGGTAATTCGGATTGGAATCGTCTGATTTAACCTAGGCCCTGATAAGTACACGTGTACCCTTACGGATTTAATCCGGCCTTATTGATCCTCATATTGGCACGTGTCATTAATATTAACATTATTACTAGGGTTAAAACAGCACCAGTGGTTGTGCTGCAGTGTCGTGATTAAAATATAACCCCATCTGACGATAGTAGTGGACAATTGTCAGAGAGTTGTTCTTACAGATCACATTCTTTCTCCCGAGCAATTTCAATGCAGCGCTTGTTTCATCAACCACTGAACTATTTCAATGTACTTACCCTTTTTACGATACTGGAAGGTGTCAATATTAATAATAATAATAATCCTTGGAGCAATCACGTGACCATAACAAGGAAATCTCACCGTACCCAAAAGTTAAAACTGGATTGTCCGACATTGTCTCAATATTCTGCTTGTTTGTTGTTTAACGCCTCACTCGGGAATATTCCAGCTTTGTGACGGCGGTCTGTAAATAATCGAGTCTGGACCAGAAAATCCAGTGATTTACACGCAAATGGCATACGATGACATGCATCAACCAAGTCAGCGAGCCTGATCACCCGATCCCGTTAGTAGACAAGCATAGTCGCCTTTTACGGCAAGCATGGGTTGCTGAAGATCTATTTTCCCCCGGATCTTCACGGGGCAGCTGTTGGTTAGATGTCAGTGCACATGCCTTGTAACTGAATGAAATACAAAACATGGAATTAGTTCTACAGCTGAGTTTATCGTGCAAATACCCAAAGGTAAAAACGTGGATCACAATACACATCGAATTTAGACATGGAACGTGTAAAATAAAAATTCATAATTTCTTGCATGTATGGGCCGTGCATGCATTATGGAACAAGACAATTCAGGGAATGTTGCCAGATGTAAATTTGTACAGGATGAACTCGTATGTTTATAACGAATCCTTCAGTTTAAGGTAACAGTTTTGTTTATGACGACATCCTATTTTGTTTCAATACACGGATGTTGCCATTCTTCGGGGATAAGAAATTTCAAGCAAACTAAAATGGAATGATTTTTTAATTTAGCATCTACAGGGTCTCAGTTAATGTTGTAGCAGAGGAACATCATAACATTCACTTGAACTTATTCGGAAGTGTTGATAAACAAAGTGACAATGGACACAACTCTTTTATAATCACAAAATGTCCGTGCGTGTATCCGTTTTAGCTGGCGTGTACTCAAAATTGTGCTTCTGTAAGTGCAAGAACAACGTTTCCAAAGGGCGTTCCCCGTGACCTATATTTATTATATACACATTTATATTTGCGCCTTGTCTTTTTCAGCCATGTTGGTGAAAGTTGATTCCGGTTTAATTGTTGTAAATTTAACTCTGAAACCCGCTTCGTTAAACAATGAAGTAAGAAATTCACTCTAATCAAAACCAGATCTCTCAAGGAGAGGGAAATTTATCCAGTTAAAAGTTTCGATTTTAATTAAATTATTAGGTTAATGTTTTCCGTTAAACCGATGCATGAGGAATCCTTTGAATAGTCGCGTAGACTTCACCTAATACGTGGACCGCCTCCGTGGTCTAGTGGTAGAGCGTCCGCCCGGAGAGCGGAAGGTCCGGGGTTCGATCCCCGGCCGCGTCATACCAAAAGACGTTAAAAGATGGTACTTGTTGTTATTCTGTCTGGCGCTCGGCATTAAGGGGCTAAAACAAGGACTGGTCGGCTCGGAGTCAGTATACTGTGTCTGTGTGGGGTATTCATGTTAAACTGCGGCATGGTATCTCAGTGAGCTAGCACTATAAATCGGCATCAGTCCGGACTAGTACAAGCAGCCACACACATACACACACGTACATGCACGTCGCTATATAAGTGCAATAATCTTGTTTTAACCCCATTTCACCTCACCTCACCTCCCCTATACGTACTCATCAGTCAAAGTGCATGTCAACGCTTTACCCTATAAACATAGCTTATAGAGTAAACTTTTACTAAGCTGAGTACAATAGCACACATTTCTGAGAGTAAACCACTTCAATATGATTGGATTCTATATGATTAACTATGATTTATGGAAGCATGTACAGGTTAAACTTACCTCGTTGACTCAAAACGTCAATTTAACCGGAAGAGATTTCGTGTTGAAACTGCTTCCTGTGGTATTTTGATGTAGATAAAGTTTTACACGGAAGCTGCAGGTTGGTAAAGGTCATTGACAAACAGAACAGGCCATGAATTTAACCTAAGTAGGATGGCTTCTGAAATGAAGCGTCTGAATTTAGAAAAGGGAGATAATCAATGTGAGATAGAATAGGTGTTTCATCAACTTCACTTATTTGATCTGTGAATGAAACTAACGAGTGACTGGTAAATATGGTATGTATCCCGTCCTAAACAATATTCCAGCTGTACCATTTTGCTCGGCAGCAAGCTGGTTGCTCACGAGGATAGGAGACGAAAGAAGTCTGACAGAGTTGCCTCCCTTAGACCATAGGCATCTTTTAAGTCCACTGAGTGGTTGGTCGGTGACATGAATGCATCTGTCGGTCTGTCTGTTTATATGTTTGTTTGTTGTTTAGTGCCGGTCAGTAATAATCCAGCTGTTTGTCGACAGGCCTTGCATACCAGTGATTGATATTATGAACAAGGACCAAGTCATACAGCCTGACCGCCTCGTAGGATAAACCTATTCGAACCCGGAAAATACCTTTTTATTCCCGTGTGTGAAAATAAATATATTGGCATGATATTGGAAGAATATGATTCTTTAATTACAACTTCAAACATATAATGATCCCGTGAAGATCCGGGGTAGACATGGCTTTCACCAGCCCGGGATCGGGTGGTCAGACTCGCTGACTTGGTTGATGCATGTCCTCGAATCCCAATTGCGTAGATCTATGCTCATGGTGTCAATCACTGGATTGTATGGTCCATAGTTGATGAGTTACAGGCCGACGTCATACAGCTGGAATATTGCTGAGTGTGGCGTTAAACAACAAACCAACCAACCAGCTTGTTTACCAATACGTATTTCAAACCCAATAACATACTATCAGTTTTGAGTCTCGACACGATGGAAAGAGTTGCCTCCCTTAGACCACGGGTAGAGTTTCTGAGATTAAAAGTTGAGCGCAACGATGAGAGCCCACTGAAATTTATTTATGTGTGTAAAACTATGTGCATTATGGACATTAAATCGTTTGAAAATAGCCTCTTTAAAATATACATCTTGAATAGCACCGTACATTTCTAATTATAAACAGATATATGTTGCGTCCCAACCTAGGTAGGAAGAGTTCTCTCCCTTCGACTGTGATGGCCCTATCTACGCGCTTAATGTCAGATGAGATGTGATGCTGGAACTTGAACATCTAATTGATGATTAAATAAGA